AGATTATGCTAGCTTTAGTGTACTAATAATCTTAATTTTAATAAGGACAGGAGGCGAGTATTTTCCCTCCCTTTTGTTCCCTACCCTGACTCCTCGGGGGAGTGGATCTTAAGGTGATGGATTTTGGGATTCATATTAGTAGTTCCACTATCTTCTGGACATATTCGGTATCCCTTCCATCTCTATCCCCAGTGTTTCCACCTAGACGGACAGTTTAGTTGTACAACATGCTTACACCTAACACATATTTAGCCTATGGCCAGCTTACAATCTGTCTGTACTGTTTAATTTACACCATTCTGTTAAAGCCCACAGGCATGAACAGTTACGGTTCAGTACCTAACCGATTTTATACTCTCCTTTCAGTGTAACCCTCTTCAGGACCTCCACTGGTCGATGGTTCGTTAACCTCACAACTCCGTAAAATGGGATGACGGCTTTGTTTGGTCTTTCCTCCTATCTCGTTACCAGGAGTCTCCTCAAGTTCCGCTCGCCAGAGACCGCAGTTACTGTTTCGTTGAGTTTCTGGATGTTCGAGCTCTATCTGGACTTGGATGTCGCTTTAAGAAAGAGGAAGTGTACAGGCAGCATGACCCTTATATACTATGCTGCTCAGTGATTTATTTGTTACTCTTTATGTTTTTCTTTACTGCTGTGGAGTTTAGTAAAGAGAGTTAATGCAAAATACTCGCCTCCTGTCCTTATTAAAATTAAGATTATTAGTACACTAAAGCTAGCATAATCTTCAATTTTCATGTGTGACTGATAAATATATGCTGTTATATATAGGGAGCTATGTATCTGGGTAGGTTGGGTTGGTGTAGGTGACTAGGTAGATTTATGTGAACATGGATGTGGATGATGAGTAAGATGTGACAAGCTGGGTGAGTGTGGTGGCTATGGGTAGACGTTCCACTGGGTGGGTGAGAGGACCTGGGTTGCTAAATATATATAATTTAGGGTGTGGGTGAATATAATTAGTTAAGTGCTTGGGTATATATAATTAGTTAAATGGGTGGTTGTATGAGTCTGTAAGGGGCTATGTGACAGGGTGTGTGGCATTATGAATTTCCATGACCGGTGAATTAATCTAAATGAGGGTTGGAGAGAAACACCAGATTGGTTTATGTTACAACCATGCACACTTTGAACAATCTAATTTGGTGGTCAATCAAAAAGAGAATTCACAGAAATAGCAGAGTAAATCTGAGTTCAAATGTGAGGACCCTGGGTGCACTTCGCCACATTTACCCCCTTAAATTCACTCCCCACATGGGCAATGTTTATTATTGTGGATACTCTGTATCTTCCAGAGTGCCAGAGCCAGAACTCCTGCTGGGTGGGAAGGGCCAGGCTTTGGTTTCAGAAGAAGAAATAGTAAAGCAAAGTTAACATATTCCATGCAGGGTTAACAAGAGGCTTCTTTCTGAGAGGTTCAAAATCCAAAATATGGGTAAATCAGGGGTTAAAATCTCCAGATCATGGAATTATATTTAGAATGCTCTTGTGCTCCTGCTAAATACATACACACAGTCCGCTAAATACACACAACACACACACACAGTCCGCTGAATACACACAACACACACATAGTCCGATGAATACACACACACGGCACGCTGAATACACACACACACACTAACTGCTGTGTACACACAGTCTGCTGAATACATACACACAGTCTGCTGAATACACACAGACATACACACACACATACATAAAGACTGCTGAATACACACACAGGGGCGTGTGTGGGTGGGGGTAGGGTTTTGTGTGGGGGGGTAGGGGTGCTGTGTGGGGGGTAGGGGTACTGTGGGGGGGTTGGGTGCTTTGCATGGGGGAGTGTAGGGTGCTGTGTGGGGGGTAAGGGTGCTGTGTGTGGGAGGGATAGGGTTGCTGGGGGCGGGTGGAGAGTGGGGAAGATACATATAAAAAAAAAAAAGTATATTAAATCTGTATCCCCTCCCCCCACCTTCTTCTTACCTTTGGTGAAGGAGGGGGGACACAGCCATCCCTGGTGGTCCGGTGGTGGTAAGTATGTGACAGGTCCTGCAGCTCTACTGTCCTCTCGCGCAATGCTGTGTGGAGCGTTGCCATGGTAACGCGCGGCAACGCTCCATACAGATTGCTTGCGGGATGACAGGAGAGCTGCTTCCTATATCCATCCCTTCTGCTTCGGTCCTCCCGAAAAGAAAACAGAGTAGGCACCTGCCATTTGGGCAGACAGGTGCCTACTCTGCATTGATGGCGAATCTATGGCCGCATGCCCACAGAGAGGGCCCGGCGTGCCACCTGTGCCATAGGTTCGCCACCACTGCTCTATACAGACCATTTTGGAGTGAATATGTAAACCGCACATGTTTGCTTTGAAGAAATGATCTTACATGCTGGTCTAACAAAGGGAATTTCTTCTGAATATCTGCAAGTACCATCACTGACCCTAAAGGGTTACTCCAAACATCATAATTACTACAGCACGATGTAGTGGTTATTGTGTGCGGATGATTCTGGCCTCATTTTTCTTGTGCATGGCCACACCCCCTCAGACTAAACACAGCAATCTGTGCGTCAACATGCCCCCTCAGACTGAACACAGTGAACTGTGCATGGTCACGCCCCCTCTGAAAGAACAGATTGATCTGTGCATGGCCACGCCCCCCCAGACCATGGGCGTCCGCAGGAATTTTTCCGGGGGGGGGTGCAAAATTGTAATGACATCCATGCTTGGTACCTTTTTGACAGTGTCATGAAAGGGAAGGGGCATATCCATTATCACATAAAGCCAGGGTGAATAGCGTTTTCACAACTATGGTGTCAGGAATATATGTTTGTATTCCTGACACTATAGTGTTCCTTTAAGCAAATTAAAGGACATTTCTGGTCACCATAACAACTTCACCTAAATGAAAATGCTATGATGCCAGGAAGCCCCTGGGTGCTCGCTTTCCTTTAAGGGGTTAAATCGCTCTCAAATGGTTTAACCCCAAAGGCTTCCTCCAGCTCCAGGTCTCTCATTGGTATTTGGCTTCTGAAACAGAGTGTCAGGAAGTGCAGACTGACGTCAGGCATGGGTGCCGCTGATTGGCTAGAGTGGACAGTTGACGCTCTAAGCCAATCGCTAGTTCCCGGTTCATAAAATATTTTTACTTTTTTATGAATGGGGAGCTACTGATTGGCTTAGAGTGCCAGCTGACCACTCTAGCCAATCAGCAACACCCCTACCCAACGGCACTCTGTGCTTCCTGACACTCAGTAAATAAAAGTAAACACATTAATACTGATATTTTTTAACCTTTGGAGATGAGAAGGTCCAGCGTTTCCCTGCCTGGCCCACGTACCAAAGCCTTATGATGTGGTGTCCAGAATAAAGTGGAGGGTTCACTTAATTTGTCCTTCCTGCTCCAATCTCCTTTTCCTCTCCTTCATTTGACAGTCTTTTTTTTTCTTCTGACACTGTTTTCTATCCTTGGCCCCTTCTGCTCTTTTACCTTTCTGCTACTTTCTGCTTATTTTGCGCCCTTCTGCTCCTTTCTCATTCTGATCCCTTTCTGCTCCTTGCAGACCCTTTCTGCTCCCTTTTCTACTTTACCTTTGTGCTCCTTCTGATTCTTTCTGCTCCTTTACCTTTGTGCTCCTTGCAGGCCCTTCCTGCTCATTCTCCTATTTTACCTTTGTGCTCCTTCTGCCCCTTCCAGCTCATTTCTGACCCTTTCTGCTCCTTCTACTTTACCTTTGTGCTGCTTTACCTTCCAGCTCCTTGCTGACCCTTCCTGTTAATTTCTGTTCCTTTGTGCTCCTTCTCCTACTTTACCTTTTGTGCTCCTTGCTGTCCCTTCCAGCTCCTTGCTGCCCCTTTCTGCTCCTTGATGTCCCTTCCTGCTCATTTCTGTTCCTTCTCCTTTTCTTACTTTACCTTCCTTCTCCTTGCTGACTCTTCATGTAGGCTGTCTCCCCCATCCCTCACTTCCATAGGCGTGCGCATGGGGTGTGTCGGGTGTGCCTGGGCACACCCTAATCCCCGCGGCACGCCAATGGATTGAGACCGGCAGGGGAGATCTCTGGATCTCCCCGGTCTGCTCATGCAGAGCCGACGCTATCCGAGCGGCGGCTCTGGTCTAAGCCTCCATGGGCCGGTGGGGAGATCAAAGTTCTACGTCACCGGTCCACAGCAGCATGGAGGGAGGCAGCAGAGAACCCGGGCTAGAGTTCACTCTCCACTGAACCACCAGGGAAGGCAGCAGGACTGGGATATTAACTAATCTGCCCCCACCTCCACCCAAACATACAGCACACACACACACACAGCCCACAAACAGCACCCACACACATACATCACCCTCGCACACACAGCACCCACACACATACAACACCCACACACACCCAGCACACTAACAGCATCCTCACAAACACACAAAACACACACACAACACCCGCACAGCACCCACACACAAACAGCACACACACACAAACAGCACCCTGACAAACACACAACACCCACACACATCACACAAACAGCACACTAACAGGACCCGAACAAACACGCACACACAAACACCCTCTCACACACACACACACACAGCACACTGCCAGTTCCCTCACACACAGCACACAAACAGCACCCTCACACACACACATACATATACACATGGCGTGTGTTTGTGCTTTAGGGTGCACACCCTAATGCAATAGGCTGCGCACGCCTATGCTCACTCCCCTAATCTATAGGCTGCTGCCTCCCCCCCCAAAAAAAAAAAAATCTATAGGCTATCTCAAACCCTCCCCTCACTTACCTGATCTGTAGGCTGTCTCTGGCTGCATGTGTTGCTCCCCTGCGGTTTCAATCAGCAGAGAAGCAGGGATAAGATGCAGCTTCCTATCCCTGTCTCTCTCCATACGGTATTGCAGTTCATTTTAAATCTCACACAAAAAATAGCAGAACAAGCTGAAAAATCCAGGGGGGGGGGGGCAAGTGCTCCCCCTTACCCCCCTTGCGGACGCCCATGCCTCAGACTGAACACTGTGAACTATGCATGGCCACACCAGCTCAGACTGAACCCAGCAATCTGGGCATGGCCATGTCCTCTCAGAATAATCAAAGCATTCTGTGCGTCAACATGCCCCCTCAGACTGAACACAGTGAACTGTGCATGGCCACGCCCCCTCTGAAAGAACAGATTGATCGGTGCATGGCCACGCCCCCTCAGACTGAACACAGTGAACTGTGCATGGTCACGCCCCCTCAGACGGAATCCAGCAATCTGGGCATGGCCATGTCCCCTCAGACTGAACACAGTGAACTGTGCATGGCCACGCCCCCTCTGAAAGAACAGATTGATCGTGCATGGCCACGCCCCCCCCAGACTAAACATATGATCTGTAAATGAGAGAGGACTGGGGTCAGTTCATAACTGACAGGTATCTAACCACACATACAGCTCCACATACTGCTTCCTACACTGTTACACACATCTACACTTATTGCTGTCAGCAGTATTACACACACATACTGCTGCCCACACTGTACACGCACATTACTTCACATACTGCTAACCACACTGTCACAAACACACACATGGTTACACATGCACAAACACATACAAACACTCTTAATCTATGTGTGTATATAGAACAGTTTTTATAATATATGAAAGGTTCATGTTTAGTTTTTTTTATTAGTTTGGAAAGGGGGGATTTAGTTGCACTTGACAATTCTGTGACTACAGACACTCCTTATATAAATTCACCCACGGTTTTGTCTACATGTTCAGTTTTTCAGTTATCTGCTTACCTCACTTCACTGATTGAAGAATCCAACTTTAACTAAATGGTCCCCTTGGGGACCTAAAATTACATTGAAATTAAGCTTTACATTTAAATTGTTTTTTTTTTTTAATTTTTATTTGATATGCTAACTTAAAATTATTCCCACCGCTCAGCTGAATAGCTTGTGAGAAAACATTACATAGTGATTGAACAGGAACAATGCGGGTCCTGGTCAGGCAAGTTCATTTGTTTAACTGACATGTTATGGAAAGGAAACTGTTAAATGAAAATGACACAGGCAACATAGGAGAAAAGTATGATTTTTAATTAAAACCAAACATCATGCTACATATTGTGTTTTCCTTTTTTTTTTTTTAAACATAAAATCCATTAAAGGACACTCCCTTGCAATTGTTTTAACCATACCCCCAAGAAAACATGCATGCATTTTTACAGAATATTTTCTTTAAAGGTATATGAAAGAAATAGCTTGCAAAAGTGGTGTTTGCAGCCTTTACAAGTCCTCCCCTCTTTCCTTAGTCATTACCCTGTGTATACTCCAGTCCCTGGAGCTGTGAATGTGCTCATTTATGTGATCACGGCTTTCATATTCTTTATAATGATCTGGCTGTAATAATGCTCATTGAGAAGGGGAGAAGCCAGGCACGCTCTGTCAACTGTGCCTGCCACTTCCATTAGCTGTGTGGGGCTAACAGAAGTACGAGTAAACCCCCTCCCCCGTGCTGTCTGATTGAGTGCCATAGAGGTGATTCTGCCCAACAAATAAAAGTTCTGATTTATATTGAAACAGTGTGAGTTGGAAGCGGGGACCCAGGCCATGTGCAGCTGGGCTTAGTTAAGATTGAGAGCTTCTGCAGAGAGGAAGGGTTCGGTGCCCAGCTGACTCCAGGTAAGAAGTCAAACCATTATCAAATGGTTTCACTACTGAGCAAATAGCCTCACTACTTACACTGGGGGACAGCAGGGCACTTCTGGCACCATAGACATTACTGTGTACAGTAGTGGTTATGGTACTTGGAGTGTTCCTTTAATTGCCAAATAACAAAACTGCAACATAAGAAAATCACAACACAAATGATGAACATGGAAAGAGGGAAACTGTAGAAATAAATTATGTTGGTCTGTGAAAATTAAAGATTCCTTCACACATCGCTGTGATATTTTTACGTTTTCTATGCAAAATGCAACACAGCGCAATGCTGGAAACCTCGTCAGGTAACCTAGCTTCTACTAACCTGTAGAGTGCTGCACTTTGCATGTAGCCAGAGGGCTTTCCTTTTGACGCCCTTATTCCTTCCATACACATACAGACAAGGGCAGAGTGTCCCTCGGCTATTCACAATGTTATTGTTTAAGAATATATTGTTTTCATTCTTGGAACACATTTCAGTACAGCCTTGACATGAGGAGGTGAGGCAGGACCCTCCAGCAGTGCAGAGGGCAATGGTTGTATTCTTTCACGGCTATTCACTAACATTCTGCAATTCAGAGTGAATTCTAGTACATGCAAGGCAAATTGAAAACAAAATTCGAGTCAGCTATATTTTTACTAAAATGTGAAATTTTTAAAATTCACACTTATTATTATTATTATTATTATTGATATTTATATAGCGCCAATTTATTCTGCAGTGCATTACAATATTATTAAAGTGAGAAATTTAACAATAAATAAGACAATTACAAAATGATACAGGAATAATAGGTAGTGGAAGACCCTGCTTAGACGAGCTTACAGTCTAGGACTTTTGTGAATAACCCTGAGAGTTATTGCCATGCCATTCAGACTGCCATCCTCATGCCTGCGTAATCTGTAAATCCTGAATTCCTATCTGACATCAGTGCTGCAAAACCTGAACTTGAATGCATGGCTTGGGCATGTATGATTCGATGCTGCTAGCTGAAAGGCGATTTGCTGCAGCTAGGCATGTCTTAGAACTGGGTCCTTCACTGACTCCATGTGGTTAAAGGAGGCAGTGTCTTAAAAGAAACAGTCTGATTTCCTCACATTGCTTTCCCAGCATCCCCGCCCCCTCTCCATCCCCTTCTCACTCCTCCTCTCTATTCAAACATCTCAGTGAATTCCTAACTCCAGGTTTTCAGTCTGCCTGACTCTGGCATGGTGAACGCAGGGAGGCAGAGAGAAAATATTTCCAAAAGCAACTGGATGATCAGAGAGAAGCAAGGATTTTGTTGAGCAGTGCAGGGCTACAGTACTTCCAAAGTCACATCTGCACATTGCCGCACATGGACTGGGAACCATGGATATAACAACCGACTACCCACAATTTGGAACTGCAAGAGACTAAAGAGGACCCTGGTGCCTATATATTTTATATACATATAGTTTTTATATATATATATATATATATATATACATATAAATATATACATTTATGTATATATATTTATATGTATATATACATCTATATATGTATATAAGTCTGCACAGGGGATCCTCGGTAGTTTGTGGATAACAGTAACATTTTTTATTTTGAAGGTGTTTAGGAGTTTTATCCTTTTTTTCTTCTTTTTAATGTGGGTTCGTGAGGATTGGATTTTGAAGGCTTTATTGTAGGCTTACGTGAAGGGGGGATCTGCAATGCCCTTTGCCAAGCGGATTGTGGAGCCCCAGTGGCTGTGTCGGCATGCTGTCACCATGGCAGAGGGGAGCTGTTCTCGGGATCAAGGGGATGAAAGGCAGCACCACCCTCGTGGTGCCAGGGAAGAAGTGGCATCCTCAGCGCAGGTGCCATCAGATGACAGGGAAGTGGTACCGGTTGATGGAAAGGATAAAGATGTGGTGCTCTTGGATTTGTGCGCAGTCAGCAACGTTGCGATCTCACGGGTCTTGCGGCAGCTTTCAGATGTGGCCCGTCACGCCTGCTCCCTCTTCCACGAAATCGAGGTGGAAATACAGGTTACGGCACGGCGTGTGCGGGCACTACAAGGGAAAATTGGAAATGTCCAGCAGATTGTAAGCAGCCTGGATCCAAAGCAGGAGACAGTGCGTGAGTACCATATCTTACAGTTGTATTGAGCATCTGTCTGCTTTGCCTTTTCTTTGCCTAATTCAAGGCCCTCTGGTATGGTAAAGGCTAAATAAAATTAAAAAAAGCATTTAATTAAAAAAACATGTATTCTTACACAACTGATCATGTCTTTTCTTCTGCTCACTACTACACTTGATGGATTAAATGACTTATGCAAATAAGTGCTTAAATGTCTCATTATCACCTCAATGATGCTGGGGATGGGAGGGAAATCTGCATTGCTACTACAGTGGCAAAAGGAAAAGACAACAGCTGCTGAAAGTGACGAGCAGAGGGGAGGGGGGATTCTTTCCTTTTTTTTTCTAGGAAAGTTGCTTTTTTCTTTAAAGATAAAAGAAGGGGAAAGGGTTACATCATAATGGATATGAATATATTTTTGCCTATTGACCTTGCTCTACCAGGGCCATTTAGATGTGAAATCATCATCCATGGCATGATTTACAATAGTGATACCATGGATTTTGTATTTCCTTTTTATGCAATGGCTGCATTGCTGCAGCTCTGATGATTTGCAATGCACTAATGCACTTGTGTCAGTAGTTATACACCCTCTATAAAGGAATCCATGCATATATGTGTGTCTGTGTTTTTATATATGTTTGTGTGGGCACAGATACACATATTTGTACATGTATTTTACAGTGATTGTATGGCTGGTGTAAGGATTGGAGATAGGAGAGTGCTGTGGTTGGTCCTGTTTTGCTGTTGCATATTGCTGATATTACTGTATCTGTCCGCAGTATATCTCCATACATCTGTCGGCTAGGGCAACACAGCATTGTTACAAATTGGTCTCCAGGTTACAAACAAAATCTTTGTTGCTATTATAGCTAGCGTAAAAGGAATCTTGAATGTTGTTGGTTTTGATTAATAAATAACCCCTTCTACTCCATTATGGAGCTCGCCAACCTTTCAACATTGAAAGATTTACAGTCTATAGGGAACGAGCAGCATGTGCTGATGCTGTGCATGGTGCAGTCTAGAATCTGTTTAATATTCACGTAGGCTTTCAATGTCACAGGTGACCTGTACTGTAACTGCAGACCCCATTCATTGATTCTCAGGATTTATTCCATGTGTAGCATGTTCTGAGGAAGCCTGTATCTCACCCTGTTGTGTGTGAGCTTGCGCAATCCAACCTGTTTCATGCTACAGCATTATAGGTGATGTCAGTGGCTTGTGACTTACATAAGGAGCTTTCCTGAGGTTTCTCAATTTGTGTATTCACTGGGCAAATGCTGAGGACTGAATTCTCAACACTAAGGTGGCAACACTAAATGATCATTCATGCTCCTAAGCAACAGAAAGAAAAGAGGGTATGGTTTACACGATGATAGGCTTAGAGCAACCAATCAGAAATCATAGCAATTATGGTATTAAAAACAGTTCTGATAATGCAACATCCTGCTGTTTTCACAGAGATGGAAAATACGAACCCGAACCCATTCAAGAAATATATTTAGGTTCACTGCATATTCACACTGTCATAATCTGTGCCATCATCAATCATTTAACTCTCCCCGTGCTGGAGGGAACTGGAAGACATGATGCATTTGTACATGGTAGGCCCCATTGGATATAGTTGGGATTCCTTCAACCATGTGATGTTACTGCATACTACTGCGTGAGTTTAATAAATGCGGTTTTAAGCAAGAACAATTAATAAAGACATCCATTACATTTGGAAATATAATAACCAAGAATGACCATTGGTGCATTAGTACTCAGAAGAAGAATGGCTAAAGGTCTAATGCTGGCCTGTAAGGATGGGGGTGGGGTATTTTAAGGCAATTGTGATATCTCAAAGTGACCTTGTTCCATATGCAGTTGCTTTTTGTGGTATGCACATATCATGTCTGAAATACTCATATAACACAGCATTTGTCTTTTAATAGTGCTACACAAATCAAGAATTATTTTGGTTTTCAAGCACAAAACTCCATTGGAAATAGTTGCACTGGTTGTTGCATTTACCAAATGCATTATCAATATGGGAGTCTTCTATCATTCATTTACAGCTTCTGTAACTCAAAGCATCATTTACAGTTATCTGTTTACTGCACTGAGAATAGAAAAAAGAACCCAGACAAGTGCACCACATCTTAACTTATATGTGTGACAGACAGGTGGCATTAGTGACAGCCAGGCATTGGAGACTCTAAGTGGGACACAGTCAGCAGTTTTAAGTAGTGGTCTCCAAGAACTAAAAGGCATACAGTGCAAATGGCCTGGTCCTAGGCTCCGCCCACCGTATGGCTTGCTCTATCTCAGTCACAAAGTCAAGCTGTCATCTAACACATCATGACAGTGCGGCTAATGGTGATCACTTGCTACATTGATGCAAAAGACACAATATAGACACCTGATTGGATTCTGATTGTGAATCTCGGCTTTACAATGGATTTAGTGTTGAAATAGGATCCAGTGTTCTAGGAGCTAATATGTTTAGTATATTAATTGCATTTTTTATTATATAAAATAACATATTTAGCCTTCATTACATGGGGGGGGGGGAAGCCCATCACATTCTGAACAGCCATTACACAGAAGTACAAAGAACTCATATAATACCTAATGTAATAGAAAATTGTTTAAAGAACAAGATTAGCCCATAGTCAGCCAAACTTGATGATTTCAGCCAATCATGATTTCAGCACGCATGGCAAAACACTATGCTGCGTCAGTCATCATCTCCTCATAAAGATCAATGCATGTGTGCAGCACTGGCCTAGCAAACACCTCTAGTAGCCATCTGAGTGACGCTAGTGCCACTAGAGGTGCTACTAGGCAGTAATGTAAACACTGCAGCGTTTACATTGAAAAGACTGCAAGGACAGTCTGTCGAGTCCCTTTAAAGAAACACTATAGGGTCAGGAACACAAACAAAAACCCTATAGTGTTTAACCCACCATTTAGGTGGCTTGCCCACCCCCTTAGTCCTTTTAAAAGGAATTAAAACTCACCTTAATTCCAACGCTGCGCAGGTCTGCTGGCGCTAGCTCCGCCCCCATTGGTGACATCATCAGAACGTCCTATTCTTTTGCCAATCCAATCCTTTCTGGATTGTCTGAAATAGGCAAGGGGGGGGGAGAGGGGGAAGGGGACATTGTTTTGGCCAATCAGCACCTCCTCAAAGAGATGCATTGAATTAATGCATCTCTATGAGAAAAATTCAGCTTTCCCATGCAGAGTGTGGAGATGCTGAACTGCAGTGCTGCCTACTGTCCTTTAAGTTCTAAATAAGAGTAACTGTATAAAGCTTCGGTTAGTATTAGTGTGTTCTGAAAAACATCACATAAAATGCTGTGTCGCAACCAAAATGCCACGTTACTTACTTATTGTTTATGTTTAATTGATACAGCATGTTGGTGCAGTAGTGGATTTGATTAAACTACGTTAAAAGCATGTGATCTAGTTTATATACATTGATATTTTGAGCTAACTGTAAAGTGCACCTATTACTTTGAAACCGTGTAGATGGCATGAACAGCTTCCCTTTATATGTAACATGTTAATATATATGCATTTTGCTAGAGACATTGGCAGCAAATACATACATTTCTGGTGCATTCTTGACGATGGGTGCCTCAGTGAATGTGAATGATCAACTTTCCTCAAATCCTCAGTGAAACATGCCACGGATTGTAGGATACAGCACTTTGGGAGAACACAAAAGTACTTGCACCTGCTGTTGTGCAATTTTCGTTTAATGAATTACTTAGGTTTACACTAACAGGGATATTCACTAAAGGGAGAATTGTTTGGTAAATTTCAAATGTAAGGACAACATAGCCAAACTGTAAACTATCTATATGGAAGCTAATACAGGCTTCCATATAGTGCAAAGAGGTACAATACAGAATACAATTGTGGCAGTTACATTTAAAGAACAACGGGAAAGATACCAGTCAATAATCCTTTAATACATCTATAGGTTTTATTTACCCATTTCTGAACTGTTGTGACTTGAGAACCATATTGCACAATTTAGCCAATTTGTGACTACATATGATAGCTGAGTTGGGGAGTTTTCCAAACCAGCTGCTTTTGCATAAATTTAGCATTTCTGTTTTCCATGTACTAACATTTCCAGTTTTGTGAATAAACCATATCAATTTAAAATGACACTGCCAAATTTACATTTTTCACTGACATAATCTTTTTAAAACATATAAAACATAAAACAATAAGACTTTACATGGGGCATATTAGGGAGAGGCTCAATGGCAACTTATTTCACGTGTGAGAAAATCTGTGTAGGATCCCTT